CACATAAGGGAGATTGAAGTAGACCGGAGCAAAGCACGGGCTATCTTGGAGGCAAAGGTGCCAAGCAACAAGAAAGAGATTTAAAGGTTCTTAGAATAGGTCAATTATCTTAGCGTTTCATCCCAAATCTAGTGGGAAAGACGAAAGAGTTCTTTGAGCTCTTGAGTTCTTTGAGTTCTTTGCCAAAGAATTCACCTAGATCGGACATCATTAGGCGGCCTTTGACAAGATTAAAGAATACTTGACAAAGCCTCCAGTCTTAGCATCCTTAAAGGATAACACCCCTTTTTTATTATATTTAGCTTCCACGCCACATCCATAGGTTATATGTTAGCCCAAAATGTTGATGGAGGACGTAAGTAGGCAGTCTATTATTTAAGTAGGTGTTTAACTCCCACAAAGACTAGATACTCAGCCGTGGAGATAGCGTGTTTAGCACTATATTATGCTTGTTCTAAATTTAGGCATTATATAATAAATACAATTGTGTATGTGGTTTTCCATTCTAATTTAATTAAATACATGCTTAATCGGCCAATCATGACAGGCCGTATAGGAAAGTGGAGCTTGGCCTTGGCAAAATTCTCATTAATATTTTTTCCTCAAAAATTAGTAAAGGGCCAAGTATTAGTAGATTTCCTGGCTGATTACCCCTCAAATAAGCTCCCCATAGAGGAGCAAGAACTATCTGTGTTCTCAGTGAATCCAGGACCCTAAATGCTTAAGTTCGATGGGTTTAGTACTGGACAAGCATTTGGGGCCGAGATAGTAATAACCTCTCCTACTAGGATAAAAATGATATTATCTCTTCAATTAGATTTTGAATGTACTAACAATCAGGCGGAGTATGAAGCACTACTCTCAGGCTCGAAATTCTTCAAGAAATGAAAGCCCATGATGTGGTCATAGAAGGGGATTCTCAGTTAGTCATCAAACAATTAACTGGCCAGTATAAGTGTATGAGCTTGGCTCTAGTAATGTATTATGCTAGGGCTTCTCATATCTTAGAAGAGTTCGAGACGGTAATATTGAATCACGTTCCCCGAGCTCAAAATTGGGAAGCCAATAAACTGGTTCAAATACATTAGGGCTAAGGCTGTCAACCAAACTTACCAGAAAGGTAATTATGGTAAAACGAAAAGACCATCCCTCGGTCGCTCAGCATGGTTTGACAGTATAATGCGGCGCGGTCTCACAAGGGTTAGCCTAAGATTGGCAAGATGATTTCAAGAGTTATCTACAAAATCCCAGTCAATGATACCCTTACAAAATGAGGATACATGCCTAATACTTTATTCTAATTGGTGATAAGTTATACAGAAAAGGTCCCGACAGGTTATTACTTATTAAATGTTTGGCCTTTATTGATTATATGGAGGTCCTAAGACAGGTCCATGAGGGAGTATGTGGGGCCCATCAGTCAGGGTGAAAGATGCAATGGTTGATGCATCAACATGGATATTATTAGCCATCAATGACCAAAGATTGCATCGAATATGCTAGAGATGCAAGAAATGCCAAACTCACGAGCCAACACAACAGGTGCTAGCATTAGCTATATATCCAATTATCAAACCATGGCCTTTCAGAGGATGGGCTATGAACATAATAGGGAAGATCTATTCGGCCTCATCCAAGGGCCACTCATTCATCTTAGTGGCTATAGATTATTTCACAAAGTGGGTAGAGGTCGTTTCTATGAAGAAAGTAGAACAAGACAACGTCATTAACTTCATATGTGAACAAATCGTATTTTGGTTTAAGATTCCTTAAATGATTACAATGGACTAAGGGATAATGTTCACTAGAAGCGACTTCAAAAGCCTTCGCTGAGGAAAGTGGGATTAAATTATTGACATCCTTGCCATATTACCCTCAAGAAAATGGACAAGCTAAAGCTTCTAATAAGATAATCCTCAAAATTCTAAAGAAGACAATCGAAGAGAATCCTAGAGAATGGCACGTACGATTGCCTAAGACACTATGGGCGTACTGGATATCAAAGAGAGAGGCTACGGGCACGAGCTTGTATGTGTTGACATATGGGCACAAAGCTGTTTTGCATATAGAAATAGCAATCCCTTCTTTACGCATTGCGATCAGTCTAGAAAGATTGTCTAATGACTACAATGAGGCTATGATAAACGAGTAATTCAGTTGGATGAAATTCGTTTACAACCGCTGCATCATATGATCGCCCAAAAGAAAGAGGTTTCAATGATATATAATAAACGAATAAGAAGGAAACACTTTTGGGTGGACGAGCTCATATGAAAACTTGTGTTACCACCTGATTCCAAAGATTGAATGCTTGGTAAGTTTTTGCCTAACTGGAAAGGACTGTTTAGGATAAATGAAGTACTTAAAGGGAATGCGTATGTGTTAGCTAGCATCGATGAGACTCTGCACAGACGGGCCATAAATAAAAATACTTGAAGAAATATTGGCCGTCATTATAGTAAAAGAAAGTAAAAAAGGACCTGAGGCCTAGAGTAGCCGAGGACATATGAGGGGCGCACAATAATAAAAAATAATAATAATTTTCTCTTTATTGCATTGAATTGTGTTACAAATGGTGTGTAGTACATAATAAAGAATAAAGAATAAAAAATGAAAAAGATAAGGTACATGTGTCTATTATTTACAAATAGTACACATAGTCTCTCACGTCACCAAAGCCGAGTCCACCTCTTCAGAAAGGGTCTGATGGCAAGTCAGGGCCATCTTAAATTCAAGCATGGAATGAAGCTTTTTATCCAAAATAGCCCGTGCCTCATCTAGAGCCTTAATCTCGATCTCCAGGCCAGACTCAGCTGGACCGTCTTTAGCTTCAGCCTGTGCCAACTCCTCTTCAGCAACTGTAGCTGGCACCTCAAGTTTGCCACCTTAGCCTATAGCTACTAGAGGTGATCCATGCGAGGGGCAATCTCCTGGACTCGATCAGTGGCAGTAGTCTTCCGAGTCTTGGCGGCAAGAGTCTTGTCCCTCATAGACCAATTGTTTTTAAAATAGTCTGATAGGAGGGGGAGTTCTTTACAGCACTGGCTGATAATGCTATAACATGCTAGGACTTGAGCTCGAAGGAGTGCTAACTCAGACATGGAGACTGCCTTATCCACAGCCTCAAGAGCCCGGATTATCTCCTCGTAATTTTGCTCAGGAATGAGGAGTGGATCTCGACTGAGTTGAAACTGCACGACCCTCCAACAACACCACATCCATTTTAGGGACACGGATGCAGGCTAGAAGGGCATTAGTGGGTACCGCCTTCGATGAAGCTAGCTAAAGGAAACGAAGTAAGGTCAGTAATAAGAGACAAAGAAAGGAACTAGAAGGAAAGAGTAGAGCCAATACTTGAATTAGGTTCATGAGTGCTTTGTCTTTGCTCGTGGAAGGGGGAGGAGTATGTTGGATAGGGAGGCACAATGAAAGATTGAAATCTTAAAGTCCCTATCCTGATATGGACCGAACGAACTCATTTAAGTCAAGGTGGATAGAAGAGTTACCTTTTAATTCTTCAAACTTAGCACACGTTCTCTTCAAGAGTTTGGATCTCAGGAGCTGACAACGTAGATCTGCTCCTTCTACTGGTATCCACACGAACAGCTCTTTAACTCGAACAGCGTGCTAGCACTCTCAGCATCCGTTCTTCTTTGAACGTTAATTTTCTTTTCTATAGGGTGTTTTGTGGCTCTCAGAGTGTTTTTTCCTTCTGAACTTTTCTAACTCTCTCCACTTTCATAAAGGACGTCCCTATCTATATATAATATATAGATAAGATTTTTCGTCTTCCACTTAAAAGCCCACGAAAATTTAATTAAATTTATCTCATAAATTAAATCCATAATATCATATCTAATTCAAATTTATCTTATAAATTCAAATTATAAAACTGACATGATATTTTCTCATATCATGTTAGTTATTAAATTTAATCTATTATATAAAATTAAATTTAAAACTAACATAATATAATATAATATAATATAATATATCACATATACATATTATATTATATATATATATATATATACGAATATATATACATATATATTTTGAAAAAAAATATATATATTATCTATATTTAATTTTATATATCATATACATATCTTATATATATATATTTTGAATATATATAATTATATTTTGAATTTTATATTTTATATAAATATATATATATATTTATCAAATAATATTTAAAAATATATATATATATATAATTCATTCACCCTATATTACATTCATTGAATCTAGACATATTCCAGATTCAATGAACTTGGACATTATAGCTCGAGTTGGGCTGTTCTTGTGTGCGACCTTGTAGGCCCATATGAAATTGGCAGTAGGCTAATTATGCTATTAGCCCACAAGTCACAAGTGGCCTCTAGCAAGACATTGCAACTACCCAATTCACATAGGGATTGATGATCCGACGTAACTTATCATGCAACCATATCACATCCCTTTTCTCACACAATATTTCGGTCAAGCATGAGACATGAAATTGTCATTCTCCTTTACCTGACCGTTACTTTCTCGATCTTTGAGTAAACTGACAGTAGTAATGGAAAAACCCTTTCCATTGTAGTATGGCCATACATTTTCTCAGTCTTACTCATCAAGAGGCCCAATAATATCTCTCACTTAATGTGAAGGACAAATTCCATCTTGACCACTCATATTCCTCTGCATGAATATCACTAAACTCAATCATAGCCTTTATGATCACCTAGTCAAAGGTGACTTTTGACTAGGTCAAAGTTCAGTGGTCATCATGTAGGAATCCATGATGATCTCAGCTTAAAGGGCTTAGTGATATAGTTACATATGAGATAAACTTATGACTTATACCATACAGCTTTCTCACAACAGGTCGGTCCAATACCTTGTACTCTTTCAAGTGCCTATAACTTTAATTTGTATCTCTATAATTAATCAAAGTCATCTAGTCTTGTTTCATCTATGATCCCTCAAAGATGACCGACCAGGGACATTTAGGACAATCACTATAGTTTGTCCAGGGCTACAGTTATCATATTGAACATGCAATTGTTATGACAACAAAAGAGAAATTTATTAAATAACAATGTGCATAGTACAATGATTGGCCCTAAGGCACAATTTCCAACAAAGTGCATGCAGACCACGCTACCGATCACAGGCCCTTCTCTACACGGCCCAAGAGTAGAGGAATCAATCTGACTCTGTACTAAAATGCCTTGAGTGGCGGCCAAGGCAACTAGTGTGTTATCCACAGTCACCGCCTAAAATCTCTCAAGGGACCTCTCAGAGCCCCTGACCTCTTGAGTGCTTGGTGAGTTGGTGGGTGGGATCAAACTAATAGGAGGAACCATCCTTAGGCCCTCAGTGAAAGCAGGACCTTGGACTTCAGCTCCAACTCACCGCTCAGGGCTGTAATGAGGCTCCTCCCTGGCCAACTACAGCCCTGAGGTCTTCTGGACTGACAGTACCACTTAGGGTCACAGCAAACATAACAACCCCCAAATCTTCAGCATGCTCCATCGCCTCCCGGGCCATGTCCTGAGCAACTTTAGTAGGATCCACAGGGAATGGCTTAGGAATGGCAAAGCAAGGGGAAGTGACCGCTCGGGGATCTAGGAGCTGATCTTCCCATGATGAAGAGGACTTACCCTGTTGTTGCTAGATTCTACTGATAGGATCTTCATCCGTTGGTGCTTGTGCATACACTTTCCCCTCTAAGGAGTAGGACCAATTAGGAGAGGAGTAGAGGAAGGTTGATCGAGGGGAGGAGGTATTGTCTTCTTCCTCCTCTTAGCGTCGGGTGAAGGAGAGGGAGCCTGCTTCCTCTTGTCAGGACCATCTCCTTTGTTTAGGTGACTTGAGGGGATCTTCTTAGCCCCAGGCTTCCTGGGGATCGAGACTTGAGAGGAGGTGTTATCTTGATCTATCCCTTGGACCCTAATCCTCAGCGAGGGGGCCATTTAGGTCTCAAAAGCAGTAGGGGCATCAATGTTTCCCCTCAAAAACATCATCAACGTGTGAGATTGTGTCCAATCATGACTTATAAAAAATAAAAAACAGGATTAGACTTTGGTATAAGGGAAAAGAAAGAAAGATAAAGTATATACTGGAGATAATACTTACTGGTATGGCTCTTTATTATACGCCTAAAGCACTGGGGCCACCATTTATTGAAGCGGAGGTAGGCATCTTTATCTACAAGCTCCACCTTACACTGCCTTTGAGCGGTGTATGGAATGGCTATATGGTCAATAGCCTCCCTATCCAGCAGCTCCACACTGATTTGGGGGGATAGGCCCCGAGGTATGCACTGGCTCAACCTAAACTGGCCCGCCACCAGTTGAGGATGATAGGACTCCAAGTAGAGTCTTAGAGACTTGGAGGAAGAGCCAGTATATGGCAGCCACATCTTCTGGGAGTAGTGGCCGAGAGGAAAACCTCATCCCTTATTAGATTGGCGGGCTTGTTCTTCTAGTCCATCATATACTTGTACCAGGTGGGGAGGTGACGTTCCAAAATATTGAAAGCCTTCAAGGTCCTCCCTAAGGACCAGCTCTACTAGCTAAAGAACTTGAAAAAGTTCTTTGAGTCGATCAGCAGATGACTACCTAGAAGACAGGTGAGGGGGTGGTTGGCGCGGGAATCATCAAGAAAAGGCTCCTGCCGAAGAAGAGGAAAGTAGGCCGTCGTCCATAACTTCAGAAAAAAAACAAGCCCGTAGAAGTTATTGAAGGGCTGTCATAGAGGCGGCACAAAAACATCATCCCCAAGGCTATTTGATTGCCATAGAGAAGGGACTGAGCAATCTTCAAGTGCAGTTGCATGGGCTTCCCTCCCCCCGGGGCCAGGATCCATTGGCTCAACAGGATCCAAATGAAGACCAAGTGCTCTGTGGGGGTGACGAGCTCGCCAATTGGCTTCTCAGAGAATAGCTCCATGATCCTTGTGTAGGAGCTCGTACTTCTAATCTTGCTCTCCAAGTCAGCTGAGAGAACGGTATAACAGTCATGCTTCTCGGGGATTGCATAGAAGTTCTAATCCTCGGTGATGGGCAGCCCTAGGAATATGAAAACATCCCATAGCATGAGGGACATGAGGCTGAGCTTGAATATGAAGGCGTTGCAGCCCAGAGCCCAGAAACTTAAGAGGGCCATCAGAAGCTTGCTTGGGACATCGACATCAGCCAGGGATAACTCAATCAGATCGGAAAGACCCATCTCCTTCCATTAGGGCACATACTCCGGCTTCAAGCACCTCACCCAGTTAACCCAAGCACGAGGAGACTGGGGCCAGTTCTTGAGTTTTTTGCAGGACGACTCAGGGAAGAGCGAGGTCATCCAGGCCAAAACCAAATTATGTATGGAGGTCAGTGGCCATGGGTTTGGCTGAGTAGGGGCTGTGACTTCAGACAGGTTGGGAGAGATGGTCAAGTACCCAACGTCGCTTTTATTAGAGTTTTGAAAACTCCAAGGAGAAGTATTGGATAAACATAAAGAACAGTTAGCATATTTTTCCAATAAAACAAAAGGGTTAAATACGAGAAGCGAGAAACTTACCAAAAAGCCACCGATTCATGGAATGAAGAATCCTCCTATAAAGAAAATGAATAACTATTAGAATGAGGAACCAATCTAGGGGGAAATGAGGGTTTTCAAACTACTGAGTACGTACCGTCACAAACCCACCAAGTGGGGTAACGGGATTTCGAATAGTCACCAGAGAATCAGGCAAACTTTCGGCAGATGTGGAAGATGGAGCGGCAATAGAAGAAGCGGCAGAGGTGGAGGAAGCCATTTGAAAGCTAAAGTAAGAGGGATGCAAAAGAGTAAATGCTTGATGGTCAAGAAATGGTATAAAGGACAAGAGAAGTGACCATGAAAAAGAAATGAGTTTATATTAACAAAGGGCGCTCAAAAATGAAGTGACGTTTCAGTTTTTTCAAACGTGCCACATGGCTTACGTTATCAACCACTGGCACGCGAGGGGCATTGTTTGGGCTAAAATATAAAACGTCGCTCAACGTAGGTCACAGGGCTAGTTGGGCTGAGTAACTGAAGCATCAAGCCCAATATAAACAAAAGGGGCCAACCCTGATGCTCAATAAAGGCCACAATAAATAAATATGCTGAAATCTTGTCAGCTGTTAACATTAGACCGTTGGCACAAAAGACATGATTTCAAGTAATGCCAAAATCTATGGACCTCACGCTCAAGTATCTCGATGAAATGGGCTGATTACCAAAATGGAGAGCATGGAGTAAAGACCGTGCCATGAGTTTCGTGAGATCTCTGATTCTTCGACAAAATGTACTAGGTCTTAAGGAAAAGGCTACCACTACTCTGACACTATAAATAGAAGAAGATACAGAAAAAACTAGTCAACACTCAATTAAAGACTCGCATTTTACACTTTTAGTCCTTTAGTTTATCAGTTAATCTTTCAATTTAGACTTGTAACTTTTTTCACATTTCAATAAAATCAAACACTTGTTCTACCAAAGTCTTATATCTTTTTATATCTGAGTAAACTGTAGTAAGGGAGCTCGGGACTTTTTTGTTATCAATTGAAACTCAGCGTCTCTGGCACTCCTGGTATTTTGTTATTCACCCACGAACACACATCCACCTTCCTTTTCTTTGATGGTAGAAGAAGGGGTACATAATGGCCTCCTCCATCGTTGAGTGACTTAGTCCAAGCATGTGACCAATCTTGTGCATCACTGCCAGCTCTAGGTCTATTTTGTTGATCTCCATTGTGTCCTTGCTTAGCAATACCCACTTCTCATTCGGCACCACCACCGAGGACTCACACTCTCTTGTGCACACCACCATCACGCTCTCTCTTCGCTCGTTGATCACATTTAGGAATATGCCACTCACGGATGAAGCTGGGAAGATTGGAGGAGTGTACATAGTTGGGTTTTTTTTTTTTTTAACTGGAGAAGGTGGGAAGAGAGTGTCACTACTGAAGATGAGGAGGGAGAGAAGTCGGTGAAAACATTAGTAGAGAAGGAGAGAGAGATGAGAACATTATGATGAAGGAGAGGTGGGAGGTTTAGAGGGAGGGAGAAGAGAGGGGGGAGCGAGAATGAGAGGAGAGAGGATAAAATATTAAAAAAAAAGTAATGTGAAGCCTACAAATAATATTTTATAATAAAAATATTAAAAAATTTAAAAAGTGAGATTCACATTAACAATCATTAACCAAATTAATGATGCTAAGAGAACGAATCTTTCAAGTTAAAAAGAAAAAATGATCTCAAATTGAGTTTAAATCTCATACACATTTGGAGGATAAAATTAACCTTTAATATTAAATTTAATTGACCACGTATATTGGCAATTTCTTGGGCCCAAGATATTATTGTATTATTGACCTCCTTTCGTAAAAGCCATACAACGTCATGTCAGAGATCGAACAAATACTTGGTTAATTGTGTAAGTTATTCAATTACATTCCCAAAGAAATGTATATCCTGAAACAACACATTACATTTATAAACCAGTGGACCCAAAATAAAAATAAAATAAAATAAAATAAAATAAAATAAAAAAGCAACTTTAAATCACAGACCCAAACTAAACTTAATTACACATTCTTCATAACCTGACCTCCTTTAGCCATTTGAACCGCATTGCCATAACCTTCATCAGCATGAGCCATATACTCTGCCCAGAACCAATGCGTCTTCCAGACTTTTCCCATTTCTTCAATGGGAATGCTTTTAGTTTCAGGGAGGAAGTAGAAGATGAAGATGGACATGACAAGCACGAAGAAGCCAAAGAAGATGAAGAGTCCGAACTTCATGTGACACAGCATATTCAAGAAGACTTGTGCCACGAAGAAGGTGAAGAGCATGTTTACTGAGACGTTCACACTCTGAGCCGCTGATCGGATCTCCAGTGGGAATATCTCACTCGGGACCAACCATCCTAGTGGGCCCCACGACCACGCGAACCCTGCCACGTAGATGCAGATGAACAGCACCACTACTACTGCGTACCACTTCGGTAGCTCCCCTGGATTCCCGTCAATCCCAAACTTGGCTCCAATGCAAGCAGCTACCACAGCCTATGTCAAAACGTTGTTACAAATGATTTTGCTTCATACATGTCACTAAAAATGCATTAATTATATATTTTTTAATATAATATAATTAAAAAAATTTATTTTCAAATAAAAAATTAATGATTTAACTATAATCTCTTAATTTCAGTGAAATGATAGGAGATCCCTGGACAAGAGCAGTATTATTATTAACATAAGCTGGTCAGTTTGTGAGAGCCCATCCTCTGTTTTATAAAGTAGATGGTTTTTTTGGTCAAATAAGGTGGATGGGTTTGAATCATGCCTTCAACATGTCAAGTAATATGCAGAATCCTTGAATGACTTTTGTGTCCTAAGTCATTTACTGACTTTGACGGGCATAGTTAGACAGTCGGAACCGATTTTCTACCCTACATAGTATGGGAATGAATTTGGCCATGCCAAATGAGTCAATCCAAGGCATTTCTTGAAGCTTGATGAGTATATTTATTGATTTTAATGTATTTAGTTTTCAAATTACATCCGACAAAAGCACATTTGAGAGAGATAATTATTTATTGAATTTGATAAAAGTATAAGTAGCTTGAATGTGTTTTTGAGGGTGACCCAAACAAGATATTAGTCAAAACCAAATAATGTTACAATGGCTTTACTTCAAAACCAAAGGGATGTACATGAGTCTAAGACATTATATTATCATTATTATTATTATTATTCCAAAAGTCATCAAACGTGTTTAGACTCTAATTAATCAATCCAAGTTAGTCAAACACCATTGGCAATACATACCACTAGTAAGTAAAGAGAGGGGGAAAAAACAAAACAAAAAAACGAAAAAAATTGAATACCTGGCAGATGAGCATTTGGACACCTCCTTCAAGGAAAAGCTTTCTTCTTCCCCATCTATCGACGCCATAGATGGAAACCAGAGTAGCAACCACATTAACCAGACCAGTGATAACAGCAGACATGAGAGCCGCATCGTCTTTGAACCCAATTGAATTGAACAACACAGGCGCGTAGAACATGATCACATTGATCCCAGTGAATTGCTGGAAGAAAGGAATCAATATGGCCATGGTGAGGTGTGGCCTGTACTTCCTCTGCAACAGGTTCCGCCATGGATGCTCCACTTGCTTCGACGCTTCACTCGCCGCCACCAGATCGTTGAACTCCTCGTCCACGTCTTCAATCCCTCGAACCTTCTGTAGCTTCTTCCTCGCTCCGTCGCGGTCGCCTCGCTCGATCATCGAGTTCGGTGTGTCGGGAAGGAGGAGCGAGCCGACGGTGATGATCAGAGCCGGCACCATGGCGCCGCCCAAGCTCAGTCGCCATCCCCAACCTCCTTTGATCTTCGCGAAGAAGTAGTTCAGCACATTTGCTATCAGTATTCCAATGGTGATTGATAATTGGAAGCCTATGTTCAGAGCTCCTCTGTATTTGTATGGTGCCATCTCTGAGAGGTACAGCGGCACAGACTGAAAGACACAAACGAACAAAAAGAGGAAATAATAAATTAATTATTTAATTCATACGCGTGGAAAATTTGAAAGGAACGCTGCAAGTTGCATTTAATATGACTTTTCCTTTTGTTTTGTTTTTTTTTTCTTCAAATGTGGAAAATTTTAATTTCAATTCGAACCAGTGGATAAAAGCAAGGGAGAGAGGAAATCGCGATAATGTCAGGACTCAGGATCACAATCACATGCAATTATGCAAAGAAAAACGAGGCACGATAATTTCGCTTTTTTAAAATAATGGGAAAATGAGATAATAATAAAGAGGCTTCCATGTTTGTTTGTCTAAATTTAGCCTTCGGTCTCAAACCCTGCCTTATGTAAAGGAAGAGAAAATCTCGGTGAGTAAGCTTTTCATTTTCCCGGAAACCAAACAGAGAAGAAGCCGACTCAACAGTGAAATGAATCAGTCAAGTCAACAGTAACAGCATAGCTCATAGCTCATTAATTTTAGGTGAAAAAGTTCTCTCAGAGTAGTAACGTTCTACTGTTTGAGCTTTACATTTAAAAAACATAAAACAATATTTTCCCAGGAAACAAATTTAGGAATAAAAGGTAGTATGGGTAAACAGATCTGGAAAAAAGTTAGAAAATACAAAACCAGACAAGATAGAATCAACTCATGTGTGATTTCATTTCTTACGGAAATATAGACAAAGCAATTTGTGTTCCCTAGTATTTGCACAGAGAAAATCGGAGACATGCCCAGGTTTGTGATATCCTAGAAAAACTTTAAGACGATGATAAGAGAATGAAAATTTATTACTCCCAAAGTTCAAAGGAAAATTCACAATTAGTCCCAGAAAATTGGGGACAGACATACCTGATTGGCGAATCCGATACCGAATCCGAGCAAGATCCGACCAAGAATCAACATCCAAACGGCTTTCGCGAGACCGTTGATAAGAGCTCCGGCGAAGAACAGAACTCCTCCGAAGAGCATCGACAATTTCCGGCCAAACTTACGAGTCACGGTGGACGCGACTAACGACGACAGAAGCGCCGCCAGGTACAATGACGACGTAAACATCGTCAGTACCTGACTGTTGTACTTACAGTACTCGTTAGTCGACTTGTCGAGGTTCTTTTTCTGGTAGGTCGACGGGAAGAACTTCTTCAAGAACGGATCCATCGACGTCACTCCACCTGAACAAGACAAGAAAGAAGAAACACAAAGATCCATTCTTTAGGTTTTCTCAGGAAAACAAACACACTCTACTGTGAAAGTAGGCATCGTATGATCATACCGGAAATCCCAATATCGTAGCCGAAGATTAAGCCACCCATGGCTGCAACTATACATGTTATCGTCACGAACACTGTAAGGTTGCCGGGGTACTCCCTCCCGCCACCTCCGACGATTCCTCCGGCGGCCGGCATTTTCTCTCACTTTTTCTCACTCGAGGAAACTCAAAAGAACAATAAAATAAAAAAGACACCGAAACCAGAACCAAAACAAGATATCAGTTCTTCAAACGGCGATGGCAGGGTCTTTTATAGACTGGGATCAGGGCCTTGACCTTGACCTTGCGAGTTGAGTTTAAAGGTGCGATAATTACGTGTAACTACCCCAGCTTGTTAAGAATCACATAAAAAGACCCTCTTAAATTTGCAATTTTAAGTTGATATAATATTTTTTTTAAATGTCAACTTTATTTAAATTTATAAACTTTGAGAAAACCTATAAATATCCATTATTAGCTTTGAAATAACAATGATTTTTAACCTATAAATATCCATTACTAGCTTTGAAATAACAATGATTTTTAAATTACATGGATTTTTTTTAAAGAAAATTGTAATTCGTAAGTAACCATCATGCAAAAAGTAACCATCAAGCAAAAATATAATAACACTTAAATACTCAATCTATATATGATATATTAATATTAACGTAATTTTCATTATATATAGAATTTAGAGCTTTTTTATTGAAAATAGGGTAATTTTGTCTTGGAATTCATAATCTTAAATTTTTAAATACTAACGTTTGGCTTTCGTGGGGACAGGATCTTGTAATTCATTCCTATTATTTATTAAAGATAAGAATTTTCCATTGAAGATCCCTTCCGGGGGATGTACATAGGAAGAAAGAAAAAAGGGGGGGGGGGGGGGAGGAGTGAACTGTAAACAACGTACGAATAACAAAACGTTCAAGGCCTATAGCTAGAAACAAGTAAATCCTTTGTCTCGTTGGTGCTTAGCTGGCCACCGTTGGATGGGCCTACACGTATATAAAATATCAAAATCCAACGACGGGGTCAAAGGCTCAAAGCCCAAATTTGAGTTGTTTTGGTTCATATAAGCTGGTCGGTGTGGGAAAACAATACAGAGAATATGAAGAAACGATCGGATTTCCATTACACGTCAGCGACGGCTCAGATGGATGCTTGGGAAAGAATGGATAATGCTGAGTCAGAAAGTGCGTGAATTTATATATTATTATTAATTGAGAGGAAAAAAAAGGATTGCTATTTTTGGAGGTGATTTGGATAATGTTGGATTGAATGGAAGGAAAATTGAATTGAATTGAACAAAAGGAACAGTGTGAAATGGAGATTGGGTTGGGATGATCCGATGCGTGACTTGAAAGGCCTTTACAGCAAAATAAGGCAAGAAAACCAGCTGGATAATGTGAGTGTACAGTGTAGAGACTAGGGAGGCTGTACCCCGCGTTATGTTCTTTCTAACTGCGGATTGCTATTAATTTGTTTCACAAATAACTTGATTCTCTCTTGGTTCAATGATGTTTATATTCTTAGATTTGGATTGAATGAATATCTTAATTCCTTGATTGAGAGTAAAAATAGGGATAAAATGAAAATTAGGATAAGAAATTGAGTCTAGTCAATAAGTCATCCAACTCAAGCACCAAATAAGTTTGAAGTTATAAAAAAGTTTATATAATTAAATCCAACCCTAACATTTTAGGTTTTTGAGCTAGTTCAAATAGTTGAATTGTTATAATTTTTTATTTTTTAAGAATAAATCTTAATTTTTGATTAAAATTTAATCATTATTTTATTATAAAAATTAATTTTTTGGGACATTTAAAAATATAGAAGACTCAAATTTTTTTAAGAAAAATTGTGTTTTAAAGTTTAAAAATAAACTTAAAATACATTTTCAAGATTATTATAAGATATTTTACATATTTAAAATAATAGGAACATAACAATAGGAATACTATTTAATTCTTTTAAATAAAATATTTAGAACCTTGTATTCAATTATGTATATAAAGAAGGGATGAAGTCTTAATATATATACATACATACATACATACATACATACATACATACATACATACATATATATATATATATATATATTTAAATATTCAAGTCAAATTAAATTAGATCAAGCTTGACCTAAGCCAAACCTGACTTTAAAATCTTTTTAAACTTATTCTAATTGTCCCAAATCATTGAATTGTAAAATTGAGGGAATTCAGATCTCATCTCCCTTAAAATTTTAATATTTCATTTATGTAGAAGTAATATGTTGTCCTTGCTAACATAGGAACTCCACTTTTATGCATATCTCACTCTTCATTTGATAATTAAATCAAAGGGATTCAATAATCACATGTCAATTATCTCTTCTCAATAAATCACATAATGAGAGCGATTCAAATTTAGTATCTTATGCTAACAGATGAGATGCCCTCTTATACTTATTTTTTTCATCCTTTAGAAATTGAATAATTGAAAGGATCCAAATCTCATCCTCATTTGATCTTCCTTTTTTTTTTATGTATAATTCATGTTGTGGAAATGACCATTCAAATTTCATATTCGTCAACATGCCACATTGCTACGTTATGTTCTAATTACAAAATACAAATAAATCCAACATTATTACATTCACGAAAATAAATTCTTACTATAAATTGGAAAAGATAGAAATGAAAATGTGCTAGAGATAAGAATAGGGTAAGACTTATATACTTGGCTTTATGTACTTAATATACTTATAATTAATCATATTATGATAAGTGGATCTTAATATGTTAATAAAATTAATACTAAGAAGTTTGCTTAATTTTTGGGGGAAGGGGTTGGAGAGTCGTGACCCTTAGGGTGTGTGGCAGGCGTGCCAAAAGTGAAGGTCCTCAAAAGTGAGTTGCGATCAGATGGTAGCGAGTTTTCGAGGCCTTTTACTATAATTTTCTTGAAGAGTCAAGTATGTGCAAGAATAGTGAGATAGTGCGCTATGTTAAGCATAAAGCTCAATAGTATTATTGATGAAATGAGTATAATTGGGTGCTCCATGAAGATGGAGAAGCAAATACAATTGTGAAAGTAGCCTAGGACACTGAGTTTCCATATGAAAGGTAGTTTGTGCTGGGTAAGATTGGGTGATGTAGGGTCAAGAGTAACGCCCTCACTGACATTACTATACAACTTTCCTTGCAATCACACCATACAATATAAAATCATTTTGTTTGAAGCTTGCTCGAGGCGGCCAATTGTTTCATAGTAGTTGCCACAACCTTACCATGGGATGCCACCGCTTGTTCGTGGCTTGCTAACACTTGCCACGAGCTCGCCCTTGGTTGGATATACTTGCCACAAGCTTGGTCGAGGTTGCCAACAGTTTCATGGCACTTGCCAACACTTGCCACAACCTTCCCATGGGATGCCCTTACTTGTTTATGGCTTGCCAACACTTGCCACGAGCTCATCCTTGGTTAGCAACACCTACCACAAGCTTGCTCAAGGCTCCTAACAGTTTCATGGCACTTACTAACACTTGCCACAACCTTGCCATTTGATGCCACCGCTTTTTCGTGGCTTGCCAACACTTGCTACTAGTTCGCCTATGGTTGGCAACACTTACCACCATCTTGCTCAAGGTGGCCAACAGTTTCATGGCAGTTGCCACAACCTTGCCATGGGATGCCACCACTTGCTCGTGGCTTGCTAATACTTCCCACCAGCTTGCTCGAGGCTGCCAACAGTTTCATGGCACTTGCCAACACTTGCCACAACCTTATCATGGGATTCCATCGCTTGTTCGTTTCTTGCTAATACTTGCTACCAGCTTGCTCGACGCAGCTAACAGTTTCATGGCAGTTGCCACAACCTTGCCATGGGATGCTACCGCTTGTTCGTGGCTTGCCAACACTTGCCACGAGCTCACCCCCAGTTGGCAATACTTGCCACAAGCTTGCTTGAGGCTGCCAAGAATTCCATGGCACTTGCCAACACTTGCCATAACCATGCCATGGGATGCCACCGCTTCTTCGTGGCTTGCCAACACTTGCCACGAGCTCGCCCTTGGTTGGCAACACATGCCACAACCTTGCCATGGGATACCACCGCTTATTGGTGGCTTGCCAACACATGCCACGAGCTCGCCCTTAATTAGCAACACTTGCCACAAGCCATCTCGAGGCTGCCAACAATTCTTTAGCCATTAACAACAAATGCTACAAACTTGCTATGGGATGCCACCGCTTATTCGTGGCTTGCCAACACTTGCCACAAGCTCGTCTTACGTTGGCAACACTTGCAACCAGCTTGCTCGAGACTGCCAACAGTTTCATTGCACTTGACAACAGTTGCCACGACCTTGCCTTGGAATGCCACCGCATGTTCATGGCTTGCCAATACTTGCCATGAATTTGAGCTTGGCGTTGGTTGCCAACACTTGCTATAAGCTCACACGAGGTTGCCAACAGTTCCCTGGCCCTTGATAACACATGCCATAACTTTGTCATAGGATGCCACCGCTTGTTCGTGCCTTGGCAACACTTGCTATGAGCTCGCCCTTAGTTGGCAACACTTGCCACGAGCTTGCTTGAAGCGGCCAACAGTTTCATGGCACTTGCCAACACTTGCCACAACCTTGCCATGGGATGCCACCGCTTGTTTGTGGCTTGCCAACACTTGCCACGAGCTCACCCTTGGTTGGCAATACATGCCACCAGCTTGGTTGAGGTTGCCAACAGTTTCTTAGCACTTGTCAACACTTACCACAACCTGAACATGGGATGCCACCGCTTGTTAGTGGCTTGCCAACACTTGCCACGAGCTCGACGTTTGTTGCCAATACTTGCTACAAGGTTGCACGAGGTTGCCAACAGTCCCATTGCTCTTGCCAACACTTGCAAAAACCTTGCCATGGGATGCCACCGCTTGTTCGTGGCTTGCCAAAACTTGCTACAAGCTCGCCCTTGGTTGGCAACACGTGCCACCAGCTTGCTCGAGGCTGCCAACAGTTTCTTGGCACCTAACAACACTTGCCACAACCTTGTCATGCCATGCGACCGCTAGTTTGTGGCTTCCCAACACTTGCCACGAGCTTGCCCTTGGTTGGCAACACTTGCCACCAGCTTGCTCGAGGCTGCCAACAGTTTCTTGGCACTTGCAAACACTTGCCAAATACTTGCCATGGGATGCCACCGCTTATTGGTGGCTTGCTAGCACTTGCCACAAACTCGACGTTGGTTGCCAATA